GAAATATAGAAGAAGAAAAGCCCGTTGGCACCTTGTGTAGCAAGAAAACCGATGGCGAAGTAATTGCAAATTGGCCACGTGGGACTGATAGCGAAACGGCGTGGGGGAAGTAGGGCAGGCACTATGTTGTCATTTTCAATTACTTTCCGCTCCTTTATAAGCAGTAGGATGTGGATCGCATTTTTGGAGATTTATTAGCGGGTTCCTTTTTTTCGTGCTGCTTTTTGCGTCGCGCGACATTTTTACTCTCTCCACTCAAACCAACTCCTCGGCGGCCGTTTTCAGGTAACCGAACGGTGGTACTCCCCTTCGACGTTCTATTTTTCGGTTTTGCATCTTAGTTTGTCCATCTTAGCTACCTTCAGTTGCTAGGTTAGTTTGACCACCCTTGTTCTACATCTCCATCTTTATGGTATGTTGTAGCTTTCTGAAGCTGCGGGATGTTTTAGATCTCTTTAGTTTCATATTTCATGTATTTCTCCTTGCAGATTCCTTGATGGTGAGGAAAAGGAGAACTGAACTTCCTTCTAGTGCAGCTGAAAGCTCTGAGACCCAGGAAGCGAGTGGGGCCAGTGGTCATGGTTCCCAACATCCTGCCGAAGGGAGTGCTCCTCAACAAGGTGGATACCAAGGGGGACACCAAAGTAGAAGGGGTTGGCCTCCCCAGCAGGCAGCTCATGGAGGCTTTGGTGGTGGCCATGGTCGTGGCGGTCCACAGCAGCAACCCTATGGGGGGCAACCTGAATACCAAAGTCGGGGTAGAGGAGGGCCACCTACCCAAGTTGGTCGTGGGGGATATGGTGGTGGTCGTGGAAGTGGTGGTATGGGTGGTGAGCCCGGTGGTCATGGGGGAGGACCTTCTTCAGGTGGACCATCTAGACAACCAAATCCCGAGCTGCACCAAGCGACCGTGCCTCATCAGGCAGTGATACCCACTCAACCTTCGCCGTCTGTAGCAAGTTCTTCATCCACTCCAGCTGACGTAACACAACATGTTCAGCAGCTTACTATTCATCAAGAAGCTGCTTCAGCCCAGGAAATTCAACCAGCTCCTCTATCGAGCAAATCTATGAGCTTGCCTCTTCGTCCTGGGAAGGGTAGCTATGGCACAAAGTGCATTGTCAAGGCAAATCACTTCTTTGTTAAACTGCCAGACAAAAATTTGCACCAGTATGATGTGAGTTATACTGTTTCTATTTTCCTTTGGACTGTTGTTTAACTTCTATTTCAGTTCAAGTTTGTAATTGTTACCGTTAATGCTATAATATAGGTCACCATAACACCAGAAGTAACATCAAGAGTTGTTAACCGTGATGTTGTGGAGAAGCTAGTGGAACTATACAGAGAGTCCCATCTGGGAAAGCGCCTTCCTGTCTATGATGGGCGAAAAAGTCTCTATACTGCAGGGCCTCTTCCTTTCTCGACCAAGGAGTTTAGGATCCTCCTTGGTGATGAAGATGATGGGTCGGGTGCACCAAGGTTTTTATTTGGTTCAGTATTTTAATTTATGTTTGGAATTTAAAAGAATTAGATTTTGCTTTTCAAAGCGGTCTTTTACTTTTCTTGTAATTGGTTGTATTGTTTGATGAGTTATTTTGGTTTTTTACGTAAAAGACTTTATGAAGTAGCGAGCAAGATATTATACTAAATAAGAACTAACAAATGATTGTAGTTTGCCTTCTATATTCTATACCTAATCCTTTTTTGATGCAGAAGGAAGGGGGAATTTAAAGTCATTATTGAATTTGCTGCACGTGCTGACCTGCACCAACTACGACTCTTTCTAGAAGGGAGGCAAGCTGATGCACCTCAGGAAGCTTTGAAGGTTCTCGGCATTGTTCTTCGAAAAATGCCTAATACTAGGTAAAGTCTTGTAGTGATATTTACAGTAACCTTATCATCTGCATATTCTTGTTCCGCATTGTTGAAGACTAAATTCTGATTGATTATAGGTACTGTCCTGTGGGCCGCTCATTTTACTCTCCTAATCTAGGTAGAAGACAGCCTTTGGGTGAGGGTTTAGAAAGCTGGAGAGGTTTTTACCAAAGCATTCGCCCAA